ATTTTCTTCTTTGATAACACTAGAAGTGCCGAAGATTACGACCCCCCTAAAAGCGCCGCTGGGTCAATTTTGTCCCACCATATATTTTGTAAGATTTTTTAGTTTCAGGTATGAACATTATGGTTAAAACTATTTGTAATATCCTTAAAAAAAGGTTTATCTTTATAGTTGAATCAATATGTACTTATTTCTTGAAAAACATAAATGTATTCAATTTTAATATTTAATTATTAAAAGTCAGATATTTTTGGTTTCATATAAAAATAGTCACATATTACATGGTGTTATACTATATTAAAATTATGAAATTACTACTTTAACTAGCCATTATTATTTTTGAAGGAAAAATAAATTTTGCACAAAGTTTTTTTGTATGTTTTTTTTTGTCTCTCTGGTGTACTATGTGTTTAGGAATTTCTATAGGTATGGTTATTTTTCTGTTATCCGTACACACAAAGCGAAGATTTTAACCAGTTACAATGAAAAGAATGTATGTTTAATTTTCAAAATTTTATAAGTCACACATTTTAAAAATGTATCAAATCATATTACAATGTATGAACTGGCCAATGTCTAGAAGCCACCTTTCTACTAATATTATAAATGTCAAAGTTAGTAAAGATTGATGAATTGAAGGATGGACGGACTGATGAATGGATACTGGATAGGAAGAGTAAATGGGTGAATATATGCCTTGAACTTGAGCTAAGTGAGTATGGATTCATGGTTAGATCGATGGATGATTTTTCACTCTTTTACGCAAAAAATACTAAGCCGATCTTAATAAACTTTGCAGTTTTATTGTTAATACTTCAGAATAACATAATACAGGCTATAATTAACAAAAATATTCAGTTATTTGGTCAAATAACAACGATAAGTGTCAAGAAATTAGGTCTTTCTATGATAAACTTAATTTCTCACGGGTGAAGTCACAGGCAGAAATTAGTACAATATATTTATATTTCTGCATTGTCACGAGTCACCTAAACGCTCCTCACCTCTCCACTCTCGTACCTCCTCGAAACAAGGACTCTTCATCGAATTATTGTTGCAAATACCAGGGTGGGACAAAAATGACCCAGTGGCGCTTCTAGGTAAAACCAATTTTTAATTTTTTTCTATTAATTTTATATTATCAAAAACATTAAAAAATGATAAAATTCAATAAATCAGAAAAAGTCAAAAAGTTTCTTGGACTTTCGTTGAAAAATAAAAAAGTTAGAGACGATCAAATTCGCGAGTGGGACAAAAATGGGACGGCGGCCATTCTAGTGATAACCTTCTACAAAGTAAGTTGAAAACTTCAAAAGAAAAGATAGTTAAAATCGCTACAATCTTTTACAAGTTATGGCATGACAAAACCAAATAAAATAGGTAAATTAAAATATTAAAAGATTTTTTTTAAACTTACGCGTTCCATTTCAACTAAATTAAAGAAAACACGGTTGGGTGTCTCAACGCGACAATTTGTCGCGTACGTGAGTAGGTACCTAATAAGTATGTATGTAACTCATATAAAAAATGACACGTATAAAATGAATTTTAATAAGTATAATACACAATTAATGCTACTTACCACTTGGGCATGCGCGCGCGCTTGGTGAACGATATTGGCTATCAAACTCCTTGCCCCGCACACGGAGAATTTTCCATTTTCACAGCAAATAATTTCCAGCCACTAAGTCAGACACACACACACGAAAAACTTTATTGTTTTGTGTTAACACTCACGCACGATCACGAACAATATTATGTCTAATTAAAATTAAAGTTTAATAATCCACCAATAATACACATGAATATTCGATTAATAACAATAAACATGAGACAAAACTGCTAAACACGCTTCACTTTCCCGCCGAGAAAGGAGAAAGAAGGTATGTGAATAAATTTTTGACATTTGGTGATTGACATTTCTTTTTTTTTTTTTGTTTTGTTTTTCTTGTTTTTTTTTCGTCACGGACTAGTTGTGAAATGGAAAAAGAAACGAATGAGTGTTATTTTTGGTAACGAGTGAAAATGAGGTTAACTAAATCTTTTTTGTAATTATCTAAGTGTTTATGTTATGTTAAAAAGGCATTTATTTTTACACTTCCCAGTATTAACCCTTTTACACGTCCCAGGTCCCTTTTTTTACGGGGAAAAAATGCGTTGAATCGCATACCTACCCTGCGGGGACAGGGTAGGTTATGTGGGGCTCACCACGTCAGAAGGACGAGGCATACCCACTAAAAAGACCCCGGTGCTCCGTCACTCGCCATAAGTGGGAGGAGACTGTGAAACCAACCGAGTGACCGTAAAAAAAACAACACCACCATCGGTAGTAAAAAAATGAGCTTACTCACTGTTCTATGAACTATTTTATGACTCATTTCCATCGAAACAGGTTGAATTTAAAGCAGGTTCCGAGATTCTCTTGACACTGTTCTGTATTCAAGGAGCATTTCTCGCGATATTTGAAATGCTGACTTGTCATTTGTCCATTTTTCAAAATTTATCGGCTGCTGAATCTCATGGCTAATTTAGATTTACTATTTCACTGTCATAGCCCTGAAGGATAAGGAAGATTGTATGAATCAGTTCATAACTAAGTAATTAGGTACTTACCACTACCACCACTACTACCACAGCTACTACTTACTTAAGTACATACGTTGTTGAACCGTCGCTGTAGGCTCTCTCTCTCAGCTTCTTGGCCCTAAGCCTGGGCGCAGACAGACCACCGATTTTTAGTTGGCCGATAGTTGGGCCCGATTCTAATTTGTATGAAGAATCGGCCGATACCAAATCGGTGTAATGTGGGCACTTTCATACATCTCCGTACTGATTAACTGCCCGACTAAACTATCAGCCGACAAAAAATCGATGGTCTGCGCCTAGGCTAAGATTAACTGGAGGAAAATGCCAAATGGCATTAAGTTCGCCTTATTGCTGTGTTTTAAGTGGTTATAAGTTTTATTAAATAAATAATTGTAGTGACAATTCAAGTTACTCATTTTGCAAAAAAAGCCAAAATGCCTCGAAATCGTCACATTAGTAAATATGCTTAGGTACTTGAAATGACGACTTAAAACAATGGAGTCACTTATTTTAAAATGACAAACATCTGCAACGAAGTGCCATTAAAACATAATCAAAAACAAGGCTGCACAAGATTATCCTTTCGCTTTAAATCCGAGCTTTTTCATTACACTCGTTGTTAATCCCTGGAGAGAGTTCACTTTACAGAGGTGAGGTATTAAGGCAATGGAACTTGATGCAGTAGATTCGTTCTCTTGAAAGTCTACATACGTATTTATACTTAACCGAACTCTGTCAGCGTTGGACTTCTGAGTAAATTGCTTATCTATAGCTGACTAACTTCGAACTCCTCCTATGTTCTTCTGATTAATTTCGTTGCGGGTCCAATGACAGTTTAACTTTCCCCCGGGACAAACTTGACCTTCACTGGTTGGGTTATTATTGGCGGTCAAGCTGTAGATCCTGGCTACACAGGAGTTGCATCGGTGGGAACGAGAGGTGGGAATAGTCCCGTAAGCTGACTAACTTTTGTGCCTGCGTTTATAGGACGATGGCAACATTAAATTCTGCGTAGACGAAGACGTTGTCACAGCTAGTTTATTGGTAATCTTAATGGTTTTCCTACTCCCACATTCTGGCTGCTTGTTATGATTTTTGTTTTACTTTGGTACCAGTATTTTGTCATTGCTAATTTTATGACGAAAAATTATCTGATAATCGCTTAGAAATTACTGACTCGGTCTGTCTTTACTATTCTCCAGTATGCTTCGAATTTCTTTAGTAAAGTTGGTTGAAGAGTTTATGGATATAATGACAGCGTTCTGCATACATAACGCCACAAATGCTTTTAGCAAGGAGAAGACTTAGTGCAGTCATTATTATTATAATACAGACCTTAAAGTAAATTACTTTTTGGAGGATTGCCTACTTATAGTACCTAATAGGAAATCAATTGATTTTAATTTGGTCATCTTTAGGTATTAATTGACTTAATGTATTGTATTTATTGTATACGTATTCATATAACGTAGGTACATACCTATGTGTATTTTTCTTTCTCCCATGTACACCAGAATTGATATAATTCGTAAGGTACCTACGCACGTACTTCGCATATAATAATCTTCAATTATAGTTCCCAAAAGGCAATATAATACAGACTAATAACTAAAGTACTACGCTTAGAAGTAAATTACAGATAATTATCTCCAAAATCCCACTCCATACAGAAATTAGTGAGAATCAAGAGTAATTAATAACGGATTTAACTAAAACGGGCCCGTTTTAAATCAATTTGAAAGAAAGTAAGCTCTTTGAAAAACGGAAACCGATTTGTTGTCTGCCTTTGAGGGATAATTAATTGGGAAGTTAATAAATTGTGGAAAGAATTAATTTAGGTTCTTAGTTAGTTCTGTTTTTGTTTATAATCTGACTGTTATTAGATCCGAAATAAAGGTTTCCAAACTTTTTGGTCACATAGATTAATAGAGCACGGTACCTTTTTCGGTTTTGGGTAGACTATCTGCCCCCCTAGACAAAACGCACTTTTTGATCGAATCGAAAATCGAATCTGTCAAAACTCCATACAAAAAAGGGGCTTTTCGACCACTTTTCGACTGGTTTGCGATTATAATTTGCACTTTGTCTAGACCCAATGGTTTCTGGATTGTTTGGTTGACAAAATTAAACAAAATGTAATTTAGTCTTTTCAAATCAAATCAAATCAAATAGTTAAAGCTAATGATAACGTTCAAATACTAGAGCTTTCTTCTTGCATACTTATACTAAAGCCCGGTCTGTGAGCACGGTAAAATTTTGTCCAATGACCCCAAGCTACCCATCCTTATCGCTCGCGCGTAATTATGTTCCAGACCAGACTATAGATCTTTTTTACATAGGTAAATATTTATTTAATTAAACCACTCATAGGTGTAACATTGTTTATTTCAATAAATAATACAAAATAATGTCTCTTATTCTACGGTATTTATAAAAAATATTGCCCCTGATGGCTTATTATCATACAACAAAAATGTAAAGCCTGATGTGCTGTCGCCTTTACGCAATTTAATCTTAGTTTTAGTACAAGAATATAGTCCCATCGGAGTGGTTCTCGACCTTAATAGTGGGGGGAGGGGGGTCCCTCTCCAAGAGGTAAGTCCTCAGTTGAATCAAGCCGATGTTGCTTAAAGAACACAGCACTGCCCCTAGTAGCAACCTGAAACATTATTTGTTGCACTATTAACACATTGATGCTGAATTTATGTGTTTTAAGTAACATGTTTGTTAATATTTTTTTTTAGAGTAAGGCCCAGAACACACGGTGAAACGCAACTGCAACGAAACTGCAACTTCTAGTTACTTTTGAGTTGCATCTAAGTTTCTGCCATAGCGTCCGTTGAGAGACCACACAAAAGTAACTAGAAGTTGCAGTTTCGTTGCAGTTGCGTTTCACCGTGTGTTCTGGGCCTAATGGTTCTAAATGAACATGCTGCAAGATTGCAACCGAAAGCTAAGGTTTCCATAGCCCATAGCGTGACTGAAATAGATTAAGGTTTTGACCAAAGTAGGTTCAGAGGTGGAATTGTGTAAAGCAATTGTAATCATTTTACAGTTCATAACGTACGTTAAAGTCAGTTAAACAAAGCGTTTGACAGAATAATCTTACTTTATGAACTGTCAAATGATAACGATTGCTTTACAATTCTACCTCAGGTTGGTGATTGGACTAGGGTGTGAATGGAATAGAAAATCTTTAATCGACAGAACTCATTAATTTAATATCGGTCCTACCCCCGTAGTTCCAAGTGGTTGATATCCAAAGCATAGTTCATCATCAGCATCATTGTCTTTATCGTCATCATCGTATAGCCGTCTACAGAACTACTTGTCATCATCATCATCATCATCATTTCAGCCACAGGACGCCCACTGCTGAACATAGACCTCCCCCAATGGATTCCATATTGAACAATTGGTAGCGGCCTGCATCCAGCGTCTTCCTTCCTTTATGAGGTCGTCGGTCCCCCTTGTGGGTCGACGTACAGTCATCGTCAAATAGTTCGTGATACTCAAAGTAGCGACCACGTCTCAGCCTGTCGGTACCCGGTGATTCTCAGCACCCCTCGCCACACCGTTACCGTGACCACTACCGTCGCCCGGGATAGTGGGGCCGCCGGGGACTAGGAGCCACTAGGTGGACCGACGATCTGGTGAAGGTCGCGGGAGGTACCTGGATGCAACCGGCGCAGGACCGGTCTTTGTGGAAATCCTTGGGGGAGGCCTTTGTCCAGCAGTGGACGTCTTTCGGCTGAAACGAACGAACGAACTCAAAGTAGGCAAATAAGTTCGAAAAACGTCTTTGTAACAATTGGAATAAGGTTGTGTCGTCAACTTTTTGGCCACTTTTGGTGTTACGAACTGTTTGACTGTACCACCTGTACCTATGTTCCTAATACCAAAGTCCCACTTTTTTTTTTTTTTATCCACAACGAGGAAGCTCTTGGCCTGTATCTCACCTGATGGTACTTACCAGTAAGAATACCCCAAATACGGCCCAGGCTTGAAGAAATCAAACGCTATGTGCGCGAAGGCCAAATGCTCGCTCAATCCCGACGTGGCCCAGTAGATGCCGAACAGCATCATGACTGTTAGGCCCAGGAGCGCTGCTACTGCATTGGACCATAGGCAACCTGCAAAAGAAACAAATTAATAAGCTGGAAATACAGTAATACCCCGCTTTACGCGAAGGATACGTTCCAGAAAAAATCGCGTTAGCTGAAATTCGCGTATATCGAGGTATATGATTAAACATAGTCAAATACAAAAAATACGAATCAATAAATGTTAAAACAAGAGTCATTGCTCGACTACCAGCCGAGCTAAACACGACGGAACAAACGAAACAAACGAGGGAATCCCCGTAGAACAGAGTCATAAGTCGGGGAAGACCCAATTCTTCAATCAGAATGTTCAGAGGAAGCGAGGATTCCCGCGACCAAAGAGAAATTAATGACTTTACATTATGTTTATACACATTCTTTCGCGTAGGTGTGAGACATTTGAAATTATTAAATGTTACGCGAAAATTGGAAATTCGCGTTATGGTGAAACCGCGCATAACGGGGTCGCGTAAAGCGGGGTATTACTGTAAAGGACTAAAATATCTTTCTCTGTAGGAAGCTATGGATGGATGGACACTTTTCATTTAATTCACGCTTATCCAATTCTGTAATTTGTGCCTAAAAATCTGAGCAAGGTAATGTCATACCTACTACATTGCTAGGAGTGTTCGGACAGTGAACTTTCTGTGGTCATCTTATCAGACTTTATTAATGCTATTGAAAATAAAACGACTATAATGTATTATTGTTTCAAAGACTAGACTTGTATTAAAAGCTAAGAAGATGCTACTTCTAGATTCATCATCATCATTTCAGCCGCAGCACGTCCACTGCTGAACATAGGCCTCCCCAATGACTTCCACATCGCACGGTTGGTAGCGGCCTGCATCCAGCACCTTCCTGCTACCTTTACCAGGTCGTCGGTCCTACTTGTGGCTGGACTCGATGCTACTTCTAGATTAGAGGATTATTATACACTATCCACAATTTCTAATCTGCAGACTGGTCAAAAGTCCCCAGCAGTAAACGTATATGGTAGGCTTATTTATAACGTGTTGCTCGTACACTTACCAGGCAACCCAAACATGGGTTCAGTAGGGTTCATAGTAGCATTGATGATGGAGAGACCAGCGGCCACCACAGCAGTCGCAAGTTGCAGGAAGAGGAATAGCAGCACACACACGTATACTGCGAAGCTGATCACTGGAGGACGGTCCACTGGAAAAGGAATTTCAATTAGCAAAATAAAAATCTAAAATTTTAAATTTTGACCACTGGTGGCACTTATGATCGTCAAATACCTACAATGCCCTTAAGGGGCACTTTACATGTCTCCTTATCTTTTAGGCCCTACCAGCGCCTGGTGTATCCAAAGATTTACGATACCTATATCGTTCGTTTTAGCCGAAAGACGTCCACTGCTGGACAAAGGCCTCCCCCAAGGATTTCCACAAAGACCGGTCCTGCGCCGCTTGTAGGTATATTTAACAAAATTTATTTAACAGTTCCCACCCCTGCAACTCCTGTGTAGCCGGGATCTACAGCTTGCCCCAATAAAAACCCAGTGAAGACCAAGTTTGTTCCGGGGGAAAATTAACTGTCATTGGAACCGTGACGAAATTAATGAAACTTAATAGAAGAGATTGAAGTTATAGTCTATCCAATATAGCTTGATTAGAATGACGGCTGTCAAACGAATGTGACTAGTGATGGGTATGTTTCGTACGGTTCACATAGATGTATCGATAAGTTTTCGAAAAAATGATATGAAAAAATGCACCCAATTTTTCTTCATATATCTTTATTCATAACTAGCTTTCCGCCCGCGGCTTCGCCCGCGTGGACTCCATATTTTTTTCCAAAATAAAATGTAGCCTATGTTACTCGTGGATAATGTAGCTTTCGAATGGTGAAAGAATTTTTTAAAACGGTCTAGTAGTTTTTGAGCCTATTCATTACAACCAAACAAACAAACAAAGTTTTCCTCTTTATAATATTAGTGTAGAAAATGACAATTATGATTTAAATTTAAAGACAGTAAAATTTAAAATTCATGTCAAGGGTGTAATTTAACGCTGCATTTACACGAAATTATCATTTTTATTGGAAGCACTGTCGTCGAAAATATTGTTTGTAGGTCAGACGTGAATTATTTCTTGTCCGCCAATATTTAGCTCTCATTGATCGCTACTACAAAATTATGTCGTTACTTTTGATGACAGCTGTCATTCTAATCAAGATAAATTGGATAGTAAGGATTGACTTCCCTCCAGTGCAAAACGACGACAGATGACAAAGGTTTATAATAAACAGGTTAACTGATGTTACCCTGGCCCTGCAATGAGATTAATCGTTCATCATTTCAGCCAATGGCAATACATTGTAGGGCTTGGACGGTTTTGGTATTCGTCCGAAAAAGAAAACTGAAGCTAAATAAATGCTGTTATAATAAAATGTGAAACTTACATGGGTTTGCAGTGCTCACTTCGGTGAAAGCGAGACATCCCAGGTTCGGCATGTAGCCCTGCGCCATCGCTCGAACCTATAAAAGTTTTTACCATAATAAAGATGACATAGAATCAAATGACAATAAAGCTGAACAATAAAGACGTGCAGTTGGATGAAACTGGTGTATTTAGGCAAAGGCTAAATACACCAGTTTGCGCTATATAGTCTGGTCCGTGAGCACGTAGAATTTTGTCCAATGACCCCTAGCTACCCATCCTTATCACTCGCGCGTAATTGTGTTACTATCGCGCTCGCACACTCACTGCGGGCGGGTCGCGACAGCAATATAATTACGCGCGAGCGATAAGGATGGGTAAGTAGCTAGGGGTCATTGGACAAAATTCTACGTGCTCACGGACCGGGCTTTAGCGCCGATTTGTATAGGTAGAATGTAGAACCTAGTGTCAAACTGTCCTATCGCTGCGACAGAGCGTTGCGTGTTGCGTACCTACTTCAAGCGCCGGCGCTGTATTTTTTTTAAATGAAACTATCCACATTCTACCACCACAATATGGCGCTATAGCGCGACGTCAGGTTAACGCTTTACGCCGCGTAAGTATCTGTTCTATTAGGATAGATGCTTTTTAAGTTTATAAGCATTTTTGGTTAACTTACCTCTTCCTCTCTCGCTATAGGCTCAGTTTTACAGCTCACTGCACATGCGCTCACGTCGGGTAGACATACCACTGTAAACATAATTTACATTATTATTAGCTTCACTATATTCAGATGAAACCCGACCAAACTATCGGCCGACAAAAAACGAATGTCAAGAAATTGCTATGTTTCTCTTCATCGTCATTATTTAAGTCATAGGACGTCCACTGCTGACATAGGCCTCCCCCAATGATATCTAGATTGGCCGGTTGATGGCGGCCTGCATCCAGCGCCTTCCTGACACCTTTATGAGGACATCTATCCACCTTGTGGGTAGACGACTCACACTATGTTTTCCGGTACATAACCTCCACCTCAGACGGCTCCATCGACCGTCAGTTCTGCTTACTATGTGCCCTGCCCATTGCCACTTCATATTGCTGATCCATCGAGCTATGTTCTTTTGCTTAAGTCATCTGTCATAAGAAAACGTTTACTTACTGTACATTGTGTGTGAGGTGGGTGTGGCCAGGCTGTAGAGAAGTATCTCCCCTCTGAACAGCCCATATCTGAAGTTGCTGACCTGCGATAGCAAGTCTTGGGATGGGGTCGCGGTAGATACTATCTGAAACAATACTGAATATCAGCGTCAGAATAATGAAAAAACAGGAATTTTATAAAGTCAAGCCAAGACTAATTCAATCACACCAACGCGTGTAGGGGCGATCACGGCGCGAATGAGGGCTATCGTTTTAGCGCTCACCAGTTAGCGCCACTGTAGAGTAAGGTCCTGTCACTTGCTAGTAGCGAAGACAGTGGCACCAACTGGTGAGCGCTATAGTGGGAGGATGACTATCGTATTTGCACTCATCAAGATGGCGCCACTGTAGAGTAAGGTCCTGTCAATCGCCAGGGGTGCCAACTGTTAAGTATAAAAACGATAGCCCTCATTAGGCCAAAGACAGGTCGCGCAGACTGTCATGGATCGCGCAACCTGTCATTGGCCTATGATCGCGCCGGCGATCCCGATCTGCACGCGTTGGTGTGGTTGAAGCTTAAAACATGTACGTTACTTCAGCAGGAAAGTAGCTTATAGAGTGATATGAGTGGAACGTATTAGTGCCTACTCTGGTGTAAATGTGCGCCGCATTAAAAATTGGTGCTGTTAAAAAAAACTATTTCCGCTGGAACAACGTCACTCCAGCAGGAACAACGTCACTCCAGCAGGAATCATTAAGGAAAATTCTAGTTGTGTTCCTTAGATTTTTAATTAGTTTTAACCCATGGTTTTAACATCAAAGTTCACTGCTTAGGCAGTGAATTTCTTTCGTGACTTTCTTCAAACCGAAACATGGATATTTAATTGTAGGTGTAACATAACAATATAAGAAGTGACGTTTAAGACATTGATCCTAGGATAACGTATTATTCACAGAAATTAATCAGTGTTAGTCAGAGATTATAAACTAGGTATATCCATAACTGATAAGATAGAGGTCTATAGATTCTAAACAAGTTGAAATACCTTGACGCATCCTTAACAAGCATGGGAAATTCTCTCCCTGAACAAATAATAACTATCTGAAGTTATTACTTCAATGTCTGAAGTCTACATTTTTACAGCTCCAAGGGACCTTAGATCTACAACTTGAGATCTCAACGGGCTTTTGAGTAAGGTTTTTTATTTCCACTGTTGCTACACACAGGGTAGTCAAGATCTACAGGACTATTCCCACCCCTCTGTCTCATCTCTACAACTCAAGTGCTACCAAAATTATCGTGTTTTACATGGGGCTTTCCCAGCTTTGAAAACCAAGTTTGTCCCGGGGGAAAGTTACACTGTCATTGGTCCAGACAATCAGTCATTCATAATACAACAAACGGTGTGATGTTTTAAGAGTGAAAGCGGTTTCTGACTAGGTACGTCCGATCCAAATCCGTAAAAATACTTGTATGATAGACGCACTATATCCGATATCCGTCATCCGAATCCTCTAGATTTCTACATCTGTATTTTGACGGATTGGGTTCGAACGTAGTGCGAAAGCGCTCTAACTTTTTCCTTATGAACAGAGAATAATACATGAGTTTACGTTAGGTGTACTCGCTAGCGAGTACGTTAAAGAAATCTATGAAGATTTTTTTTAAAGTAGCCGCTAGGGGCGCTGCACAATTTGCCATACATTTTAATGTCATTTTTTTACGCAGTCGCTAGCGAGTGCACCTTGCGTAAACTCACGGTAAGCACACTGAACTCCAAAATATCAAAAAGTTATCTACTCACCCAACTATCACTCGACACTGCCACAACTATCAACAACACACATAACACACTCAGAAGGAATGCACCAAAAATGTATCCACGACGCGTGACCGCCATCCTGTCTTATTCGATACTGATAAAATTATAATTACTTATCAGTAATCGACTGATAACAGATAAGCGGAATTATTCGTTGATTACACTAGTTTACAAAAAAAAAGTTTTTCTTTTACCCAAAGATAATTCATATTGGGTGTGTTTTCTACCAGCCCCCTTATTACAAAAATATATGTCTCAAATTTTTATCACGTCTAGTTTTTGAGATATCCACATTAACCTAAGTAAGCTGTCTTGTGAGCCGTGTCGGTGTTTCTACTTTGTTTTAATTGCGTTTAAGTATTATTTTAACATTTTCACTTGTTTTAAAATGACACCAAGGCAGTGTAAATTAAGCCCAAATAACTTTTGCTAAGTTAGTGGTCAAATTATATTGTCAAAAAATAAGAGACCAATCACTGAGGCCGTAAAACGGGCCTATTTCTATTACTTTCAAATCTCGTTAACAAACCTGATAAAAAATGGGTTCCTGGTGTAGTGTGCGAAAATTTGAGAAGTATATTATTGCACTAGGCTGCAGGAAAAAGAAAACATATACGATTCGGCACCCCAGTGTTATGGAGAGAACCAACAAATCACTCTAATGACTGTTACTTCTGCCTCACTGAAACTGCAGGTTTTAACAAAAAAACCAAGAACATACAATATCCTGATGTTGCATCAGTCACAAAACCTGTGCTACAATCTGAAGGAGTTCTTTATCCGTCATTACCCAGCAATTCCAGTAAGGGAAAGATGCTTGGTATTAATTTAAAGCAGCAGTGAAAAGTTTCCTGGGAAACTATAAAATCTGAGAATTAAGCAGAAATTGTTTCCAAATTATTGAAGAATTACCAAAGAATGGGTGTGAATAAGTCGTTAAAAATTCATTTTTTACATTCTCACCTGGATTTTTTTCCTGAGAACCTGGGAAGCGTGAGTGTTGAGCATGGCGAAAGTTTTCACCAGGATTTGAAGGTTTTTGAGGAAAGATACCAAGGAATTTGGGATAAAAATATGTTAGTGGATTGCTGTTGGTCTATAATAAGGTAAACTGATACTAATCAGTATAAAAGAAGGAGTAACACGACTTATTTTTGATTGTTTTTAGGGACAAATGTACAAAAATGATAAAAATTAAAATAATCAATATTTACAAAATTTGACGTCCTAAATTTTTTCTAAGTTCAGTTTTTAAGTAAGGGTTAATAACTCTACCGATACATATCAGTTTCATCTCTGGGTAAAAAACCTTGTAAACTAGTGTTATTTATTAATAGATAGCACAGCAATAATTGCTTTACTGCTTTACTTAAAAGAATTATGTTTATTGGGTCAAACGTGCATTTTTATTTCCACAATTTTAGTAAGAATGATATCTTTTTTGTAATCATGATATCGCACAAAATTTTGACAGTCGATTATATTGTTTTAGATAACGTTTAATAACGCTGAACTTAATATTTTTACGACCCTAAATCCAGAAATAGGGGATTCACCTGATAGTCCAGTCAAATTATACATTAAACCTGCAATAATTCGCATACATCTGAAAATTGGTACGAATGCTCGGAGCACCATTATGAATGAAATGTGAAAAATCCCCATCGATCCGACATGTGCTAAATAAAAAAAAAAATTCAGATTTTCAGCCAAACGGTAAGTTTTATCACAAAAATATGGATGACAAGATTTTACCTTACACACTTACTCAGTTATGTGCTAAACTTGTAGCTTAGGAAAATATTTCTATTGAAACGGACATTAGGGTTATTTTGTTATGTTTTTATTTTAATAAAACCATAAAATCGCGGTGTTATCACTATTTTATTAGGTACTTCACGCGTAAGCTTTGCATTAAAATATAATTTCAATGAATTTCATAAAATATACATTGTACACGTCATCTTAGTCTATAAATTACACTATTAAAAGCTCCCTTATTGTTCAGTGACCATTATTGTTTAAAGAAATTGACTTTTCTATACAGGGTGTTATACTAAAACGCTTTAGAATAAATCTGTTTTTAGAACACCCTGTATTGATTTTTTAAGCCAGTTTAGTAACCAAAGATTCCAAAATCGAGCATTACATAATTGTGACCATTAATTCATGTATATTAAAAATATATTTTGCTATTATTCTATCAAATCCTGCAGGCTACAACCTTTCAATTTTAACTCTAAAACAGTACCAAATATAAATGTGTTTACAAGCATTGGTTATTGTAGTCACCATTATTGAAACCTTATTGCCTCACCATAAGGTTGAAAATCAAAATGTCCACCTTTTCGTACTAAAGCACAGTGTACACTAAACTAAGAACAAATGGAGCTAAAGCCCGGTCTTTGAGCACGTAGAATTTTGTCCAATGACCCCTAGCCACCCATCCTTATCGCTCGCGCGTAATTATATTGCCGTCGCGACTGTGCGACGGGCACCCGCAGTAAGTGTGCGAGCGCTATAGCAACATAATTACGCGCGAGCCATAAGGATGGGTAGCTTGGGGTCATTGGACAAAATTCTACGTGCTCACAGACCAGACTATACATGCTTAACATTCAACGAATTTTTCTATTCGATGATGAGGTATCAGAAATTTCATATTCTTTAAAGTAGCATGCAATATAATAATAAAATCAGTACTGTACTTACAATTTTGGAATGGTAAAAGTTGATAATTACTGTGGTATTAAACCACAGAAGTACCACTTAACCCATTGAAGGGCTCTGTCCAACATATTGCTACCGTAATTTAAATCTAAGCACATATCATAAGATCAAAGATCAAAAAACAAATGTTTTTTTTTTAAATGCTGTGCCCTATAAAGGGTTGAAAATAAATACAAAGTTCACAATGCATACTTTTGATATTTTTTTTATATACTCTTAGCTTTACATACCACATGGTTTAAACGAAAGAGACGTTCTACAAAGCTTTTCTATCCCTTTCTAATTTCTACATACGAGAGTGAGTCTCGACAGATATAATACTTAAGAATATAAATACAAAGATTATAACAATGAATAAATAAGAATTAACAAACTAGCTAACTACAAAACAAGTTTAATGTAACCACCATTTTGTAATATTTAAGGCTGAAATTATACAACTGATCAATTTAACTGCGTTCCTGGCAGCCGTGACGTCACATCGTCGCTCTGGTACGGACGGGGTGAACGCGGGAAAGTTTTTTTTTATTTTTTTATCCACAACGAGGAAGCTCTTGGCCTGTATCTCACCTGATGGTAAGTGATGATCAGGCCGAAGGTGGAAGCAAGCTTCACCCGGAATCCTCAACCACGGAGAAACTGGCTATCTTACCTCCAACTACCGGAACACAACAATGCTGTTAACATTGTTGTTGTGGCGACAGACTCAGGTAAGATGGTGGTAGCTAACCAGGCGGACTTAGAAGTTTAAGTGTGCGGGAGAATAGCATTCCAGCGAGATGCGCAGTTAACTCAATCGGGTTGTACATTATTTCAATTTTAAACAATTTAGAATAAGGTTTTCACAACAAAATAGACCATTATTGGTCTATGGTTTTGACTATCCATGTAAAGCATTTTCGTTTTTAAGTCACAAATAAAACACTGCTTTTTGAGATGGTCATTAATTACTAAATGTCTACAGAGTGTTAGTGTAACACTTTTTTTTTGGCGAGATTGAATACTTACCGATTTCCACAAACAAACATTCCAACGAACCGTAAGGTCACATATTACAAAGTGCGCAGTATTTCCTTTGTCACTTGATTGTGTCATTGTTAGTGATTCACTGAGTTTTGATTAACTTCTATTAAAATTAATTACATTGTTTTGGTACACAGAGCATTAAATAACCTCACTTTTTGAATGTCTCCGTTTGACAGATCAATGCGTTACGTTCCATTCTTTTAGTATAGAAGAAATGTATAATGAAATTAAATATTCAACACTAAATTTTTATAAAACTTAATATTTAGGCTCTTTAATTTAAATTCTAGCTATTTCTAGTATTTTCCTCAATGTTTATATTAAAATAACATTGTAATGTATCTTGATCGATCATGGGTTCGGAACGTTCTAGAAATTTGACATATTCTGAGCGAAACGAAACGCGCGGGAGACGGTCCGAATACTGTGAGTGACGTTTCTTCTGTTTCTAAAAGTTAAATAAATTAATTAAATTTAAATCGGAGGAGCAGTTTTGTGAGTTCTCATATCAAGATTATTCAATAAGAGGCTGGTTGACTCAAATAGAACTTATTAGAAAAAGAAATAAAAAATAAAAACGAAGAAACATTTTTATGGTTTGTTATTGTTGGGTTCGATTCGGACCACAAGTCACGGGTGATGACCGGCGCTTTTTGGAGTGACCTGATTACATTTTACCAAAAAGTAAATTCCTAAATAAATTTACCATTGTGATGTATTATCGATGGATTTTGTTGTGTTAACTATTTTTAGTTCACTTTGTGAAGGTAGATGATATAATAATTACGATGATTACATTTTACCAAAATGTTACCTTCTAAATCGATTTACCAGTGTAATGAATTACCGTTGGATTTTGCTGTGTTCACATTTGCTCCATCCTCGAGAGCGATGGATTATTGTTTTTAAATTGTTTATATTATTATGTATGTTGCTGTTTGTAAAATATGATTTTTTATTGTACAATAGGAGGTGTATGGTACCGGCTGCCCTGTTGGCACCGGCTATCAGGTGTTTGGCACCGGCTGTCCCGCAGTGCCAGACGCTTGCTGCGCCCGACGGGTGCGGAGGGGGTTGAGCCGAGTGGTGGCGACTAGCGCGCTAGTAATCTTAAGTATTTTTAATCAGTACCAACCAAACGGCCCAACGACCCATCCCTTAATTTTTCTTTTTAAATATTTGTGTCTAACCCACAATTAAATTGTTGTCAATTTAAATATTTAATTTTTTTATTTTGCTCCGGCAAATTTTCATATTTACATTAGGTAAATGGGTATAAATGGTATGGTGAAGTCAGAAAATTTATATAATCATTTTAATTATTTTAATTTTTATACAAATCTGATTTCATAAATTTTATTTTGTACGAACATTTAAAAAATTAAAATGATGATATCAAATTTCTGACTTCACCATACCACTTATATGCATATGTTAACATGGGCTAGTGTCTGCTCATATACCCATTTACCTAACACCCTGTATAACATTCTCTTTATCTTGCAAAAATCTCATTGAATCACCCGGTAAGCGAAAGGTCGTGGGTTGTATTCTCACCTGTAGCGTGGATTTTTTAAAATAAACTACTTCTTACAAATTACACGTGTTCACAATAGCGCAAAAAGCGAGTGACCTTACTACATCGTACGGAAGATGTCTTGACTACAAAACGTTAAAAGAATATAATTTCTTACCCCCAAAAAGTTTGAATCCCTCCTAATTAATTTTACCTAATGAACTTTTTTAAAGTTTGTACTAAAATCTTCTACAAATTCCTTTCATGGTAACTTTTTAATCTATTTCTAATTAAAACCCTAACTTGATGGTGACTTTTTAAACTTTAAACGTAGTTAAAAATTGTTGTTTTTTTTTCTGAAATCTGCCGATTAAGAAAAATCATCTTTATTGCAGTAATTACTTTCATTCAGAAACATATTTTCTCTCTATCGATACATTTAATTTTGTTTACCGAACGTAATGCCTACTATGCGAAATCATTATAACTTTATTTTTAATTAATACAATTTTAAATATTTAAAACAAGATCGTTTTTCGAAAAATCATCAATCTCTGTCACAGATTTTATCCAGAGGTCAAAAGCTTCAATTTATTCTTGAAATTGAATCGAGTTTCAACCGTCACTTTGAAAGATTTACACAACGCACTAGTTTTCGTTTTAACTGACTTCGCAAATAATGAACACCTTGCCTTATATCATTATATCCAATTTCTAATAACACTGAACCCCGTTTTTACCGACAAGCCCCTACTCCTAAGTAGGTATCCCCTAGAGCTAGACTATGTAGTCCCTAAAAATTTCACCATACTAGGTGTTACTTAACTACTTCTTCATTTCTATGGCGTGAATGGGCTTTAGAAACTACAATGTCACTGGTGACATCTAAACGTTGGCGAAATCCAATTTCCATTAATTTCTGTAGGTGTTCCTTATATTTAGGAGCTTGTCAGTGAAAACTGTCATCAAATACCACAACAAGTTTCACATTAAGCCGCCAAGCATTGCGTCACATCACTCAAGCATCCCATTTCTTTACACAACTCTCTCAACCGCTCCAATTGAGATCCGCTAAAATTCGACTGCGTGGCCACCACACACAACATCCTACGATCCGAGAACGACATGGTCACCCCGTTTTGCTTCAAAAAGTCCCTAAAAATACCCCAAATATTCCCCCTCTCCCCGCATTTGTGGAAGCCTAGCTTTAGAATATGGTATGCTAGTGGGGAAGTCTTTCTGATGAACTGGTTTGAACTGGCTGAAACTAGTAAGGTTAGGAGGCAGTATGGTAAGAGTTCTAAGGATATCTTTCCTGTGAGTAAGTGGCAGAGGGCTTCGAAGATCCAACCGCTTAGCACTGGCAGTTGGTCTTGAGTTACAGCTGTTTCGAACACCTGGGAAGAGAGAATTTTATTCATTTATATCGCAAGAATAAACTATCTATACTATACTATACAGGGTGTTAGGTAAATGGGTATATGAGCCGACACTAGCCCATGTTAACATGGTCATATAAATGGTATGGTGAAGTCAGAAATTTGATATCATTTTTTTATTTATTTTTTATTTTCATACAAAATAAATTTTATAAAATCCGATTTGTATGAAAATTAAAATTTAAAATGAAGATATACATTTTCTGACTTCACCATACCATTTATATGACCATGTTAACATGGGCTAGTGTCGGCTCATATACCCATTTACCTAACACCCTGTATATATTTGTAGACAGTGTCAAATAGTTCGTGACACACAAAGTAGCCAAGAAATTTGCAACACATCTTTGTTACGATTGGAATGATGTTGTGTTGTCTACTTTTCGACCACTTTGGGTGTCACTATTTGACGCTTACTGCACTGTAGTTATACATTAAAAGCCTAGGCAGGCCTAGTGGTTTTCGTACTGGACTGGAGATCGTAGGTTTTCGCACAACAAATATATTTTGTGTGAACTGGTTGTATTAAATTGCTAAAATCTTACTCTTGTCACAATCAAACATCAACTATCAAAGACTTACAAATCAACTGAATAAAAATTCAACAAACACTTATCTGATTTTAGTATTCATATTGACAATACACTGTATGTAAAAAAACACCAGTGATCATTTTGTAACATCCAAAGTAAAAAACATACCTCAAAAACGATTTCAGCATTCAGCACCGAGCAGTCGATCCATCTGTCTCTCTCGCCCACTATCCCCACCTCTATTTTTTCAGTCTCTTTGCAACTTTCTATAAACTCTATGACCACTCTACTCAAAGTCGCTGCGGGCGGTAAAGTCTCTCTTAGGAAGTATTTGATGGTTGTAGAGACAATTTTCTTGCTCTCTCTCTCTTTGCATTGACGGAGGACTTTGTAGAGGAGGGTTATGCGCTCCATAGAGTTCATGAGGACGTCAGGATCCATGTTGGATACGTCAGATGTCAGTTTTGGACTGAGGAGTTTGCTGTCCGCTGCGGGAAAAATAAAGTTATTATCTATCATGAGGTAATTTATTTAGTGTCTACTTTAGGAACACAACCACCTCTAATGAGGGCTTTCGTTTTTATACTAAGCAGTTGGCACCCCTGGCGACAGTGACCTTACTCCTACAGTGGCGCCAAATTGCGAGAGCAATAACCCTCCTTTTGGCGCAGTCGGGTAAATACGATAGCTCACAAACCAAGGGAAATGGAGGATTTGGCCAACATCCTCAACTTTGGCCAGATAAATTGGAGGTCCAATTATTTTTAACATGGTTTCTACTGAGGGCTACCGTTTTGCATCGGCGAGTAAGGTCCTGTCACTCACTGGTGCCCAAGATATAGGTGCAAAGTGGTGAGTGCTAAAGTGATAAGAATACTATGGCATTAATACTCAACAGGATGGCACCACTATAGAGGAAGGTCCTGACTCCTGTCACTCGCCAGTGGCGAGAACCAGTGAGCACAACTACAGTACTACAGTAGCCCCATAATTGGAATACTTTTGATATGTTTGAACTTAACAGGGTAAAAACAAAATATAGATAGTTACCATAATTTTAAACCTTATATCCTTGGCTTATGGTTAAAAAAACAAAGACTAACCAGGTCCAGAAACAAAGACTCACCTGTGAATAGGTGCACCAACAATATCTGTATCGCGTGGTGTTCACAGTAGCTCTTCATGTTATCCAGTAGTTTCTCTATGACCGAGTTCTTCAGGTCTTTGGGTAGCACTTGTTGGCGAATTGTTGTGGTAATACCCTAAAAAAATAATCAATTTAGTCACTAAAAATATTTCTCAGTAAGTGTATTTTTCTTTTTGTTTTACAGTCGAAGAAACATATTAGCTTATAGTCTAGCAATAGATACGGAATGTAGACTTAATTTATTTAAGAGTAAAAGTAAGTTGACAACCCTAGTGAAATGATAAGGTGCTGGCAAAAAAAGTCACTCACACCGATTTTTTATAGAAAATGGAACCTCGACTACAGCTTGCGAACTAGACTAGCGAAGTATTTATTTATTTACTATTATTATAAGTTACTGAAAATCGTATTTTACAGCAAATGGTTGGGGGTTCTTGGTTTTTAAGGATGATATTTATAAAGAAGTTATGTAATAGAATGGTGACAAATATGACAATGTAAAGCAAAATACTGACTAAAATTTATTTTCCTTTTACATACGTACAACAACGACAACAAGGTGGACCGACGACCTTATAAAGGTAGCGGGAAGGCGCTGGATGCAGGCCGCCACTAACCGGTCATGGTGAAAATCATTGGGGGAGACCTATGTAAGAAAATGATGATGATGATGATGATGATGATGATGATGATGATGATACGTACCCTGACTACCAGATCCGTGCAATAATGCCTCGGGTGTAGCAACACGAAGTCCACGGCCATGTTGATCAAGTCAGGGTGTCCTAACTCGATGAGAGTGAACAAAACCGTCCAGTATAGGCTTTGTTCGTATAGAGATATTCTGAAAGATAATAGAGTATTAATTAGGTGATGAAAGGGAAAAGGCTGAAATTCCTCTCAAAGGTATGATTTGGAATATAGATCTTTTTTATTTCGTAGTCATTAAACTAAGCTAAGATTATTCATGGATATAAAAAAATGTGTAAACTAAATAAATTTTTCATAAATATAAATTATACATAGAAGATATTCAGACAAATGCACTCTGATAAGTTGAACGATTTTGAAACGTCTAATGGCAAAAAGAATGATGGCAGCGCCTTCTTGCAAATGACATTTTAGCGTTTTTCTACATGGCAAAAATCGGAACCAGCGATTCGATATTGACGGTGGCGCCCCCTGTCAATGTCACGGGTGGGACGGTTCAGTGGAGTTCATCTAATAATACATGAAAATGTTTGTATGATATTTTCTTCGATATTTCTTCGATCGAGCTCAAATTGACTCATACTGTCAAGTAGGCGAACCACTAGGGCCGACTGTCATCAATTGATGTGACAGTTTTGACAATGGGGATGTTGCCTGGGTAAAAAAGCAAGAGTTTTAATTAGTCCGTCAGTTAACTTATCAAAAAATACTTTACACGTATTTTTCACTTTTTCAAACTAATGAAAATTTAAAGAGATAAAGCGCCCCACAGTTCATAAGAAGAGGCCCGTGACGTCAACGCTTGCTTAAAAATGCCGCACGTTGTGACGTCGTGCGCAACTTCAACGCACCATAACTATGTAATTATTTGTTAGATTGACAAATAAAAATATATGTGTCCAATATTTTTTGATATTAAACATTACGGACTAAAAAATTTTTTTGAGGCAACTAGCCTATTCTCACACCACTTGTGTGTCGCTCGTATCACAAAATCTCACTTCGTCTCCGCTTTAGTCGCAAATGACCATGATACTCTGATGGGTAGGGCACATAGTACGCAGAACTGACGGCCGTAAAGGCAGCAAGGTTCTGGAGTGGAAGCTGCGTACCGGAAAACGAAGCGTGAGATGTCCACCCATAAGGTGGACCGACGACATCGTAAAGGTAGCAGGAAGGCGCTGGACGCAGGCCGCTACCAACCGGGCAACATGAAAAGCATTGGGGGAGGCCTATGTTCAGCAGTGGACGTCCTATGGCTAAGATGATGAAACTGCCGCCTCTGTGGTCTAGTGGTAAGACCACCTGCTTCAGACGCAGAGGTCCCGGGTTCGATTCCCAGTGGGGGCAGATTTTTCTTTTCGGTTTGGTTGGTGGTAGGGCTTGTTCTAAGTCCGCCTGGCTAGCTACCACCATCTTACCTAAGTCTGTCGCCATAACAACAATGTTAAAAGCATTGTTGTGTTCCGGCAGTTAGAGGTAAGATAGCCAGTTCCTCCGAGGTTGAGGATTCCGGGTGAAGCTCGCTTCCACCTTCGGCCTGATCGTCACTTACCATCAGGTGAGATACATGCAAAAAGCTTCCTCGTTGTGGATAAAAAAAAATACTATGATACTTACTTCGCATTCGGCGCTAAGTAGTGCCTAACCGCGACCGATAACTGGGCGAGCAATTCTTTATGCGACGCGCCTTGAAGCCGTCCGCCTGATGCTTGTAGTAAACAGCCTTGAAGAGCCGCGTGTCTTAGCGGAGCGTACGACGATGATAGGGATTTGATCAGCTTCTGGTGGACTGTTGATAACTCCTGTGGACAATAGGGATGTTTCCTGGGTCAAAAAGCAAGAGTTTTAATTAGTCCGTCAATAAACTTATCAAAAAATACTCTACACGTATTTTTCACTTTTTCAAACTAATGAAAATTTAAAGAGATAAAGCGCGCCAAAGTTCATAAGAAGAGGCCCGTGACGTCAATGCGTGCATAAAAGTGCCGCACATTGTGACGTCGTGCGGAACTTCAACGCACCATAACTATGTAATTATTTGTTAGATTGACAAATAAAAATATACATTATGTGTCCAATATTTTTTTGATATTAAACATGACGGACTAAAAAAATTTTTTTAGGAAAATAGCCTATTAGGATGGTGACTGGGTAATGAAATCGAAATTCTATCTAGTCCGTCAGACAGCTAATAAAAATATTTTGGACACATATTTTTTAATTTTTTTCATAATCGAATAATTACAGTATTATATTGTGTTGAAATGTCGCGTGACGTCAATTTTGAGTAAAAAATCTACTCAAGCGTGACGTAACGCGCCATTTCAACTCGATGTAGCACTGTTAGTATTTAATTATGAAAGAAAATAAAAAATATGAGTAATATTTTCTAATTATCTGTCTGACGGACAAATAATTTAAATTTTGTCATCTAGCCTATTTTAAGGGTTTATTCATCTCTATGAAAATAAAATAAAAAACTTTTTACATCCTACCACAGTGTCACTTTTGAAGCTGTGGCAGGGTGTAAAAAGAGTTTTTTTTTTCATAAGTGGCATCGATAAAATTGACTGATTTCTTTAGGAGAAAAGTGCACGCGCCTCCATACTGTGTGAAGATAGAGCAAGCGGGCGCGCAGTTGTAGCTATAGGAACAGGTTAAATCCCCTGATGATCACACGATCTCCAAAGTGGGTGTAAGTAGCCAATCAGTACTTGACATAATATTCAGTCTACACACTAAGCCTGCCGACTCGCCAACATAAGTCGTCAACTTCGCGTTTTGTAAACGTTGAAACACTTTATAGGCCACTGTCAAGCGACAATATGACACACGACGCGCGTTGTATTTCTCGAGTGTCAGCAGGTAAATGAACTCAACACGTGCAAGTCGTAGACATGCCGCTGAAATGGTGCCAAAAGGCGTCGATTTTTTTGAAATAAGCAGCCGACACCAAGTGGCAGGATTTGGTGTATACAGGGTGTTAGGTAAATGGGTATATGAGCCGACACTAGCCCATGTTAACATGGGCATATAAATGGTATGGTGAAGTCAGAAATTTGATATCATCATTTTATGTTTTTTAATTTTCATAAATTTTATAAAATCCGATTTGTATGAAAATTAAAATAATTAAAATGAAGATATCAATTTACTGACTTCACCATACCATTTATATGACCATGTTAACATGGGCTTGTGTCGGCTCATATACCCATTTACCTAACACCCTGTATAGACTCCTCATGGGTTCACATAACATACCTGTATGGGCGAGGCCACGTCAGTTTCGGCGTCGACGTCTGCTGTGAGGGCAGCGAGACACAGCGATAACGCGTGTAACAACGCGCGAGCGGCGCAACTGTACTGGGCTAGCGACGCGTGCGCAGCTCCTGTAGAAGTTAAAAATGTATAGTATAAAAATGAATCGCAAAATTGTTGGTAAGTGCATAACTCAACAACGCCTGAACCAATTGTACCAATTATTTTTTTAAATGTTCGTTTTTTTTTCGTGTAGGTTTGTTGTCGACACGAAAAGAAGAAGAAGAATGTTCGTTGAAGTCCAAGGATGGTTTTTACGGTGAGAAAAATTCGGATTTTTTTCCGGGAAAACCTTAAAAACAGCCCTTTTTTCACGCGGGCGAAGCAACGGGTGGAAAGCTAGTAAAACCATAAAAATTATTCGTTGTAAACAAATACCACCATCGTCCTAAATCGTCATAACTGCAATGTTTACAGTATTGTAGTGTTTCGGAAAATTTAAGAGGCACTGGCCAAACATAGCTCGTAGAACTGATATCCGTTGAGAAGTTTTCAATTGACGACAACGAATGTTGCCCACGTTGAAAAAGCCTCCCGAAGGAACGACAATCTGGTTGGAGTAGCAGGAAGCACCTGAATGCGGACAGCGCAGGACCGGTGGTTGTAGATATCCTTGCGGGAGGTCTTTGTCCAGCAATGGAAATCTTTTAGCTGAAATTATGATTATGATAATGCAGAAGAAGCTACAAATCTGTGGCCGAGGCCACCAGAGTACCGGCACAAAATGTAACAGAAGGTAAACTCCATACTAAGCGCGCTCGAGCCACGCACGCATAGACACCGCTCACGTACGCGTTATCAAGACTGTCTCGGACGAATGAGAGGCGCGTAAAATTATTTTGTTTGTGCGAAAATGAGTGAACAACAAAAAAGGGGTATTATAACATTTGATAAGTAGATGGTTGCTTACACTCAACATTAAAAACTAAATTTTCGTTTTTTAAACTACCAGTTGATTCCGGGAGGTAAGTAAGTTATTTATTTGTATTTCAATAGTTCGTTTAACGTTGACAAATTGAAATCTAACTCAATTATTAGGAATATCGAAGTGTTTTAAAGAGGTTTTAGGATTTATTGAATAATAGTGTCAACCACCCAACTACATACTACGTGATACTACTTCCTTCTCGTGTATTTGTTTGCAAACTATTACTATAATAATAACGTACTAAACATAACTACATAATTATACGTGGATAATGTGGATATCTGTTTTTATCTTTATTCCATAGTATTAAGAGTTACATTTTTCTATCTAACGAAATAAACGCAACACATGACAAGACAACCCTAGCGCGACGGCCGAGCGCAGGTATGCAAAGCGAAGTACATACATGAGTTTACCTTCTGTTATATTTTGTAGTACCGGTCCACCTCCATTGAGAGAGAAAGCGCCCGCCGACACTGCATTGACTATTACAGTCACTAGATTGGAATCAGGTCTGGAGTATAAGATTGGTATCCACAGTACTACATAAGTATAGTCTGGTCCGTGAGCACGTAGAATTTTGTCCAATGACCCCAAGCTACCCATCCTTATCGCTCGCGCGTAATTATGTTGCTATCACGCTCGCACACTCACTGCGGGTGCCAGTCGCAGTCGCGACAGCAATATAATTACGCGCGAGCGATAAGGATGGGTGGCTTGGGGTCATTGAACAAAATTCTACGTGCTCACGGACCGGGCTTTGGTAATAAGTTACAAACCTGTAGCGGAAGCCACGAGAGTGCCCGCCCACCACAATTGGGCGGGCGTTGAGAAAGCACCCGCCGATGCTACATTGCCTATAGACTACAAAAGCTAGATGGGAATCAACAGTGCTACTAAGAAACGCTATTTAGGTTGATTCGGGTCTATCCGCCACCGTTGCTAATGCTGCCATCTCGCTTTGCGTGAGAGGTATATAATGGCAACATTCGAAACTACGGATAACGTTTTTCGGAGTAAGTCAGCTAATATGGGGTATACGATTGGTATCCACAGCACTATTAAGTAAAGCCTGGTCCGTGAGCACGTAGAATGTTGTCCAATGACCCCTAGCTACCCATCCTTATCGCTCGCGCGTAATTATGTTGCTATCACGCTCGCACACTCACTGCGGGTGCCAGTCGCAGTCGCGACAGCAATATAATTACGCGCGAGCGATAAGGATGGGTAGCTTGGGGTCATTGGACAAAATTCTACGTGCTCACGGACCGGTCTTTGGTAATAAGTTACAAACCTGTAGCAGAGGCGACGAGAGTGCCGGCCCACCACCATTGGGCGGGCGTTGAGAAAGCCCCTGCTGACGCCACGTTAGCTATAGACGATAGCAGCGCCACTCTTGCGCAAGTGCCTGTAGGCGCCTGTAACAATTAATTTATTTATTTATTACCAGATAGATACTCGGCACATCAAACATTTTCGTTGCAAAACACCTCCTATTACAACCGCATAAGATCCTGGTGTTTAGCTTGATTTGCTGTCGTCTGTACAACACATAAAACTGGCAAATAAAAGAAATACAAGTACTAAAGAGCACAATTTAACTTTCATCGGAAGAATGAGTTTGGCATTTTGAGTTTTGCATATCCGGCTCGAAGGATCATATAGCACGATAACGTGTGCAAGCGCTGGTGAGGACTTATATTGGATGCAGACAGAGTAGTTGCACGTCTGAATACCGCTGGTGAAAATATGCGTAAATATTTATATTTCGCTGTTCTGTGCTCTCTATCAATCATCATCATCAACAGCCCTTTACAGTCCACTGCTGGACTATGAGTCTCCTCCACTATAGTGGAGGGTTTTGCCATAATCTCCACGCTTGGCAGGCGGGTTGGAGATCGCAGTTTTAAAGATTGATGTTTTTCAGAGAGCGCTGCTGCCCATTCTCTGTTTGATGTGTAGTCCCTAAGTCGCCTCTTACGACACCCGCGCGTGCTCTCTATGCTATGAAGATTTAGAAAAGATATTACCTAAGAACATACTAAAAAGTTAGGAAACGAGATTTAAAGAATGTATAGAACTTTCTCTCACTTTTGGCTCCAACATCTGTGAAGTCACGTCCATAAGTAGTTGCAGGCAGCTGTTCACGTCAATATCTTTATTCCTCTTTAATCTCTTCAGTTCTTGACGCACTTTGAAGGATGCTTGGTTGGTTATACCTGTAGCAATAATATTTGTAAAAAACAAATGAATCCACCAATAACCAATCAGATTACATTCTGTCAATTTCATTCAATCTGAATAAAATCTGATTGGTTATTCAAAACATATTTCTCCGTTCCGCGCTACCTTGGTAGAAACCGGGCCATAAGCCCGTTGTCACCATCAATCCCTAATTTGTAAGTGACCTCAATGAAAACAAAATTCCTGTTGTGTTATCATAGGGGTCACTTAAACATTAGGGATTGATGGTGAAACCGGGCCTTTGACATGCTATCATGAACGGATGTATATTTGACACTCTTTCAAGTTTAAACCATTGACCCCATTTAGATAAAACATGGCATAGAGTTAGTATGGGAAAAATATAAAAAGATACGGTTTTTAGTTGAAAGCGCAATGTAAAACCAAAATTCACACTAGTAAAAGCAAATATTACATGATATAAAAAGATGATTATTTACCTGCAGCAGCTTTAAGATACTCCATACTGAACTGCGCATAGTGATGCCCCTCATATCCATCGTTGATCAGTGGTATCCTTTCCAAGTTCACTTCATCGAAGATCTTGTATGCCGATGTGCCGACCAAGATGTTCCGGAGACGCTGCATTCTGTTGACAATAACAGCTGTTTTAATGCAACAAAAACTGTTTAAGTTGGAATAACACATGAAAGATTCCCCCCCCCCCCCCCTTCTCTCTCTCTCCCTCTCTATCGTCTCTCTCTCCTATTCAACCCCGGAACTCCCTAACGGTGAGTTAGGTACGCTTGGGCGTTTTGTATGTGTACGTCGCGTTCCGTTTGCTTAGCTTGGGTCACAGCCGACTTAGAACACCGCCTCAGTAACTTACTCGCTAGACCTCTAGACACGCGTAACGCGCCCGCTTTCTCTCGGCCTCACTGGCTTAGTTACTTATAACTAGGGGAGGCATTTAGTTCTCTCTGATTTACGTTCGATGAAGCCTTAGTTACTTACAATCCGCTAGTGGGACCACTCCCTCTCTTTCCACGTCGCTTCACGTCGCTTTTCATCGTCACTCACCTAGGATCGCGTCTGACATAGAACACCGCCTCAGTAACTTACTCGCTAGTAGACTCTCTCCCAGACAGGGTCTCTCCCCCTCCCTTCTCTCTCTCAAACACGTATGGCTTTCTCTCTCACACGCATGGCTTTCTCTCTCTCAATAACCCTCTCTCTCTCAGCTTAGTACTCACCCGCTAGTAATGCTGTGCGCGCGTCTGGGCACGTGTAGCGCGCGGCCCCTGGGCGCGGGCGCGGCGCCGCGTAGCAACTGCGCCAGGCCCCGCACGGCCCAGTGCGGCCCGTTGCCTTGTAGCGCTCCCTCTCTCTCTCACTTACTCGGATGCAGCGCTCCCTATCTCTGTCTCGCTCGGCCTCAGCACTGCCTTAGTTACTTGTTACTAGTAGAGGCATTAGGCTCGCTCTGATATCACTGACGCGTGCTAAATACACTGCATTCAATGAAGCTTAGTTACTCACCAACTGCTGGTTGCCTTGTAGTTCACCCTCTCTCTCTCGCTCGACCTTAGCACTGCCTTAGTTACTTCTTACTAGTGGAGACATTATTAGGCTCGCTGAGATATCACTTTGACGCACGCTAAATAAGCTTTGCTTTCGATGAAGCTTTAGTTACTCACCACCCGCTAGTGCGATGGGCGCACCTCCAGCGAGCGTCCTACGTGTGGAAGGGAGAGAGCCATGCGCTCTCTCTCTTCCTCTAGTGGCTCTCTCTATCTCCCACGCGTAACTCTCTCCCACGCATGGTTCTCTCTCCCAGGCGGGGTCTCTCTCCCACGCGTGGCTCTCTCTCTCACGCGTGGCTCTCTCTCTCTCTCTCACGCTTGGCTTTCTCTCCCTTCCTTCTCTCTCACTCTCTCTTCTAGCTTCACACTCACCCGCTAGTAATACTGTGCGCGCGTCTGGGCACGTGTAGCGCGCGGCCCCTGGGCGCGGGCGCGGCGCCGCGTAGCAACTGCGCCAGGCCGCGCACGGCCCAGTGCGGCCCGTTGCCTTGTAATGCGCCTGCCAGGCCTACCCACATCTCTTCGAATTGTTTCTTGGAAGACCAGCCTATTAGGTTCGCTCTGGAAAAAAATATTTTGAAATAAGTAAGTAATTCTCACGTCCGAAATACCGCAGTGTCTCAAGTCAAAAGTATTTGACCAGTGTATGTTGCCAGTGATGGTGTACGGATCTGAGACGTGGTCGCTTACTATGGGCCTCATAAGAAGGCTCAAGGTCACCCAAAGAGCGATGGAGCGTGCTATGCTCGGAGTTTCCCTGCGTGATCGAATCAGAAATGAGGAGATCCGTAGGAGAACCAGAGTGACTGACATAGCCATCAGAATCGCTAAAATTAAGTGGCAGTGGGCGGGGCACATAGCTCGAAGAGCTGATGGCCGCTGGGGCAGGAAAGTTCTTGAGTGGCGACCACGAGCTGGAAGACGTAGCATGGGCAGGCCTCCCACTAGGTGGACCGACGATCTGGTGAAGGTCGCGGGAGGTACCTGGATGCAAGCGGCGCAGGACCGGTCTTTGTGGAAATCCTTGGGGGAGGCCTTGTCCAGCAGTGGACGTCTTTCGGCTGAAACGAACGAACGAACGAACGAAGTATTGGGGAAGGCCTATGTTCAGCAGTGGACGTCTTATGGCTGAAATGATAAACCATGCAGTTTGTAAGTTAACGCGGACCGGAAAACGTAGGCCTCCCACTTAGTGGAACATCTAATGAAGGTCGCGAGAAGCACCTGAATGAGAGCAATACAGGATCGGCCGTAGTAGAAATCCTTAGGCTGGTTTTAGTGTCACGCAGACTGTCAGTGCGGATCGCTCCGCACAGCCGATCTGTATGAACTGCTAGGGAGCGAGCGGTTCCTCCGGACCGCATTACTCTAAAACAGACATTCCCAAAGTGGGCGATAACGCCCCCTTGTGGGCGCTGCAGGCTTAAAGGGGGGCGGTAAGAGACCCAGAAAAAAAATCGGGACGTTGTGTAGAGGCTTGGGAGGCGTCATCTACTAGGAGGACTCTTAGACACCGACTGAGCTCGACTCTCGACTACAAAAATGGGGGGCGCTAAAAAATAATTTATTCTCAAAGTGGGCAGTAGACTAAATAAGTTTGGGAACCACTGCTCTAAAACGCTCCCTAGAAGTTCATACAGATTGGCCGTGCGGAGCGGGTCCGCACCGGACGGTCCGCGTGACACTAAAACCAGCCTTAGGAGAGGCCTTTGTGCATCAGTAGACGTCATTTGGTTGAACCGTATTGCAAGTCTAGACTTGATCAAACAATAATTTGACTGGCACCATCAGTAAATTATTATTGACATAGGTACTTTCTATGAGCTGTGAAAAGACGACTCTAACATAGATTTAATTTTGTATGCTAAAGACAAGCTATGACGACATCATTTTTGCTCCAACTCAATGGACATTCTTTTGTTTTCACATGTAATAAAATATTTTTTTAAACTTTCAGATATAGAAAAATTCATCACTATTTGTTCAATGGTTTAGTCACGAAAACATAAAATGTACAATGGATTTACCTGTACAAAAACGCCTCCAAAACGTCCATATCTTGCAGCGCTTGGAGCGGCAGGTCTATCCTTTGAATCTGGTCGTTTTTGGACACCACCTCGACGGATGACCACGCTATAGGTGGGATAAGGGCTATGTTGCTTACTATGTCTAACCTGAAAAAAGTTATTTGTACATGAAGCATAATACATTACATTAAGATTTTGAAAGATTTAATGGCATATGCTACCTACTAGGTAGAGTACGAAAGAGACAGCACATCGAGAGGAGTATACAAGTATTTATGGAGGTAAATATTTATTCAATTTTTAAACTGCGCAAGCTACGTAGAATTATGATAAATATTCAAATGTATAAGGTAAGAAGACTATCATAAACGGCAAGAGCAAGATGGATGGAAGCAAAATGATACTGTTTTATTGTCTTATCTAAAAACGCAAGTTAAAAATTCTTCAATAGCTTTATTCTAAGGCAGTTATAGGCTATTTGAACTTTTTTCTTCTATCCTGCGCTTTTGAAACCTACTTAGATATAAAAAAACTCATTATTCAAATATATTTAAAATAGAGAAGACAATTAATTTGTATTTGGTTATTTTTGTTGTTAAAAAATAACGAAATACAAATTACTGTTGTCATAAAAAATGTAGCCTATCTCTTACCTCGACAAACTAACGAGCAAGCTCTCAATCGGCCATCTGTAACACTTTGCTATGCACCCGTCGTTCCTCTTATGCTCCCAGTAGTCAATCAACGTGACCAGTTTGTCGCCCACTATGATCAGATCCGGCTGAGGACCGGAATCTTGGTGCTGGATGAACTGCTTGAGGACTAGCGGTCTTGTGTCCTGGACAATATGGTTTATTTTGGTTTAAATATTTGACATAAGACTCCATGAACAAGACGTTGAAGTTAGAATGAAATGGCGGCGCATGATTAAGGCGAAGCAAAAGAAGAAGACTAAATTAGAGCTCCCATATTCTGAACTTTATTGAGATAGAATAATGCTCAAAACTATAAAGGGGTTGATGTATTAAATCTTTATTCAAATACGATTAAAATAGAATGATAGCTAGAAGCAGAATAGATCTGCTATTTCTTTTTTTCGTCTCTCACATCGCTTTAACATGGTTCACAAAATGGCTCAAAAACAATATTAATGACATGCCTTGTTAAAAAATACAAAGGGATTAAAATTAAGTGTGTGTCAGTATGATCGAATTTAAGCGAATGAATTTTTGATAACAGAAAAAGAAAAATTCAACATCAAAAGTCAATTTTTTTATTTGCATAGACTAATATTTAAATAGTTCTTAAAAATCGTCAAAGAAAGCAAAATAAATCGATCATACTGACACACATTTGCGATACAGCAGAAAGGGTAAGAATATTTAATCAGTTCCCTTCAAAACTCACCTTAACTAAATACTTGACGACAGCATACAAGCAACTGATAGCCGACTGCGTCCTATTCACATTCCCTTCCGTATTCAACTCCGTCCAAATCTCTTCAAACGTCAACGCCTTCGCCACATTATCCATGACTATCTGAATGACGTTGTCGACTATGACGTTATCTGTCACCACAGCCGGCACTCGGAAAGAAACGTCAGTAGGCACGGGACTTTCGACGACTTTTTTATTCTTAATCAAAAAGGATAAATACTGTAATGATATAACGCAAAATGTAGAAATGTTCTTCGCTAGACCGGACGGTAGAATGTTTTCTATGCATTTCTCTAGTAAATCACAATCGGTCTCATCTATAATGCTTATCATTCTATCTAGAGAACTCAGGAAACCAGACATAATGGTTTGGAGTATCACAAATTCTTGATAAAATAGTTTGTCTTGGAAAACTTGGTGGCAGCGTCTGGTATATCTATCTATGGTTAGTTCTACATTTAAATTGAAGTTCTCTGACTGACTCATAGGTCTGTTTTGCTTTGGAAACAGTCTAATCACGTCTGTCAAACACTTGTCAAATGCCGCGACTGACACTTGAAACAGATAAGGAATCTCTGGAGGAACGAAATCCACTTCATCATCAGATAGCTGGAGATTCCCAAACTTCTCTTTGACTTCGTCGTCTGTTATTGGAATAAAGAATTGCGATTTCGACTCTTTATTGTCGCTCTTTTTGAACACATGCAGCGTATTGACTACATTGAGTTTGTTACTATCAATAGATGACGTCATTTCTTCTTTTCTCTTAGACATTTTCCTCTGGTGTCTTATTTTGTCCCTTTCTGCTTCTCTACTTTCTTGAACAGATACCACATTTAGGAATTCGCGTATAAAATTGTCGCATGCGACTTTGAAACAGGGGTTTAGCAGTTTCCTGTCGAATTCTGGACATGACACTACAGTTGTCAGATCCTCTTTTGACAGGTTTGACAGTAAGTGTGCTAACTCATTGTGTTTTGCTACTTTGGGTGAGGAACAGTGGATTTGACAGCACCTAGAACAATTTTTATGATTAATTTCGGTTAACCCTTAAGTCAGCGCTGGAATACAGTAACTATATTATTTTATACGCTTCTATTGGACTATTCTTATTACTGCAATTCTTATGTAATCAAGCCAGTTAACCCACAAAAAAAACCAAATCAATGAAGTTTGTTCCAGAAAATCAAAATCAAAATCAAAAGTATTTATTCAGTTTAGACCACAAGTGGCACTTATGAACGTCAAAGCAGAGGAAATTATATTGTCTAATATTGAGGGCCAAAAACAACTTGCTTGGCGTAAAGGTTAAATATGATAACCAAATGGGCTAGGATACTCGCAGAGATAAAATCTTATCGATGATTTTACACGACAAATGTACGGGCTTATCGCTTGAAATCGATAAAATGCGTCATCATAATTTTAGCCATAGCACGTCCACTGCTAAACATAGGCCTCCCCCAATGCTTTCCGTGTTGATCGATTGGTACCTGCGTCCAGCGTTTCCCTGCTACCTATAAGGTGGTTTAGGCGCAAAATGTCAAATCCATAAAATTCTTAAACCTAACATCCGTTTCCCGGTACGCGGCATCCATCTAAATATATAAAAGGAGAAACTGACTGACTGACTGACAGATCAACGCACAGCCTAAACGGCTAAACGTAGGCACTTGAAATTTGGAAGGGACGTAGCTTAGGTACCGTAGAGGTGCACTAAGAAAGGAATTCCCGAAATTCCCACGGGAACGGGAATTAGCGGGAAAACGGGATTCACGCGTACGAAGTCGCGGGCGGCCGCTAGTTAATGATAAAATGCATAAATCAAAGTGTATCGTGATGCGCATCCTAGGCCTACTGGCGTTTTAATTTGTAACTGACCTGCTTTTAACTTGATTCAGCAACCAGTTGCTATCCACATTGGTAGTCAATATGTGTTGGGGGTTGATGGCTCTGTCTTGAGATAAATCTAGGGGAGATAAATCGTGCACACTCGACGCTAGAGAATTCAACTCCTTTACTAAGGTTGAGTATCTGAAACGAAAAGAAAGTCCATTACAAGGAGTTGTTTAGGTTCAGGTAATGTTTTAGATCGTGAAATAGCTTTAATTTGACTCTATTACAGAAAGTTTTCGCGCGCACGTTCCCCTTCCAACACTGGGATAAAAAAAAACTAAGTTACTAATTTTGTGAGAACGAATGAATGGATAGATGTTCGTTATTTTTTCAAGCTATAATTATATTATTTATTTACGCTTTAATTTGGTATTCAGTTTACAGTCAAATAAACTGCAAAAATCAGTCAAGTGTTTTTTTTATGCATAACATGGCAGGTATTTGACCACAATCGCATCTGATGTTGTGGGATGCAGTCTAGGATGGTACATATCTGCCCTGCAAGTGCCTATTCACTCTCGCCTTCTCACGATTTTTTGACCGATTATGAGTTTTGATCCCAGCGAAAACATATTACTGGTTTGGAAGACAAGGGCAGGCTAGTACCTATTTTAGACCGAAATTCGTGCGGGCGAAGCCACGGGCAATAACTTACTTAATAGAGTGATATCTTACCGCACATGAACTTTGTCTCTCTGCAGCAACTCAAGCGCAACTTGCACGTCTTCTTTGGACAACTGAACGTTTATTTTCTCCACTGGCAACTCTTTCAACATTTTACACCTTTCTTCTGCCAGTTTTGCGAATCTGTCAAAGAAAACACATGTCATAAATGATTAAGTTGCCCAGCCAATATATTTTCCCGAAGTAGTGGTAAGGCAAGCTATACCAGGCCAGGATGTACTTTTCCTACAAGACTGGTAGGCATTTAAGTAGCAGAATCAATACCATTTGTTTGATCGAGTGTAAAAATTACACCCTGTATCAACCTCATCATTTCAGCCACAGGACGTCCAGTGCTGAACATAGCTTTCCATGTTGATCGATTGGTAACGGCCCGCATCCAGGGCAAACGAAGCTTAAGTCGAATTTCCATGTTGCGCCCTACCCAGTTTCAGTTGGGAGCTCAATTCTCGAGATTGTTGACAATATGTCTACCTCGGACAAACGATCCAGCTAGGTAGGTCCAATTTCGAGAAGGAGGTCAATCGTCGAATCCAACTCGACTAGGCAGCGTTCGGGAAACTACGCAACATCTTTTCATCCAAATTACCTCAGTGCCTGAAGACGAAGGTCTACAACCATTGTGTGTTACAAGTGATGACTTAAACCCTGTATATTAATTAATAATTTTAACTTAAATATAATAAAGACATACCTCATTGCTATCGCCGGTTCCAGTTTCCCAATAATCCGACATATCAAGAACACTAACGCCCCCGATTGACTTTCATGGCATAGTGATAGCATTTTGTAAGTGTTTAGAGCAAACTCGTCCTGAAATCAAATCATTAAATTAGGCATGATGTGATTTGCCTTTTTTAATCGCACTTTAAAATGAGAGAAACACGGGCCTCGACGCGAAATTGAAAAATGACGCTCGCACACTCACTGCGGCCGCAGTCGCGACAGCAATATAATTACGCGCGAGCGATAAGGATGGGTAGCTTGGGGTCATTGGACGAAATTCTACCTGCTCGGCGACCGGACTTTAGAATTTGCACGCGGTTGACTAGCAGCCACGTTAGGTGACTTCATGATGATGATGATGTCGATACATACCTTCAAACAGCTCTGGCACCTCATCGCGACAGCTTGCAGTAACAAACCAGAAGCGCCTCCAATCTGTTGCACCCCTCATGATGATGATGATGATCATCTGATGATGATGATGATGATGACCTGATGATAATGATCAACATACCTTCAAACAGCTCTGGCACCTCGCTGCGACCGCTTGCAGTAACAAACCAGAGGCGCCTCCAATCTGTTGCACCTTGCCTATCAGGTTCTGAATGATGCCCTCGCGGTACTACTGGCTGTCTAAGGTCCGGTAGCCGAGCACAGAATTTCGTCCAATGACCCCAAGCTACCAATCCTTATCACTCGCGCGCAATTATATTGCTGTCGCGACTGTCTGCTCAGCGACCGGACTTTAGAATTTGCACGCGGTTGACTAGCAGCCACGTTAGGTGACTTCATGATGATGATGATGTCGATACATACCTTCAAACAGCTCTGGCACTTCATCGCGACAGCTTGCAGTAACAAACCAGAAGCGCCTCCAATCTGTTGCACCCCTCATGATGATGATGATGATCATCTGATGATGATTATGATGATGATGATGATTCAACATACCTTCAAACAGCTCTGGCACCTCGCTGCCACCGCTTGCAGTAACAACCCAGAAGCGCCTCCTATCTGTTGCACCTTGCCTATCAAGTTCTGTATGATGTATTCCCGGTATTGGCTGACTAGAATGTGCACGCGGTTGACTAGCAGCCACGTTAGGTGACCTCATTGATGATGACGACCTAATGATGATGATGATGACCTGAGGATGATAATGATCAACAGACCTTCAAACAGCTCTGGCACCTCGCTGCGACCGCTTGCAGTAGCAAACCAGAGGCGCCGCCAATCTGCTGCACCTTGCCTATCAAGTTCTGTATGATGTCTTCCCGGTACTGGCTGACTAGAATGTGTACGCGGTTGACTAGTAACCACGTTAGGTGGATGGCTTCGGTTAGGCCGTTTTCTACCTGGAAAGTAAGAGGTTTTAAAGAAGTGTCATTTATAGAACTTTAATATCATTTGAATTACGCTAACCAGTTAGGGCCTCTGGCGAGTAAGGTTTTGTCACTTGCTTGTGGCTAAGACAGTGGCGCCAACTTGTAATTACTGAAGCAGTAAGAGGACTATCGCATTTTCAATCATCAGTTGGATATCAATCACTCAATATCGAGGCAGTTTTATCACACGCCAGTGGCGCCAACTGGTGAACACAATTCATGAAACTTTGCCGCGTAAGTGACTATACAAAATGTGTTGACAGCGCAGGATCAGGAGATTCCAAATGAAGGCGTTAAGATGTCAAGTTTCCCAAGTATTCTGGAAGCTTCTGAAGACTTCAAATAAACAATACTCACAAAGTACTCGCAGTAAGCCATGACGCACGCTATCTGCAGTATGTCAGCGCACAGTAAGCCCGTATCTCCGCTTCGCGCACTGAGAGGCAAATTGCGGGCGTAGCCGATCAGTTTTTGCCAGTACTTGTGTGAAAGGAAGTTTAATCTGGAATAGATATTTTTATGTTGAATGGGCTTGTTTATTAAAAACAGATCTAATTTCAAAATAAAACCGTCGATGATTATTTGCACTTATAATAGGCGACGCTACTCTTTACGCCTGAATAGTTATCACCTGCCATGTCATTCGAACTAAATTGACAATGGACGGCGTCATATTGGCCAGAGATCAAAAATATTTTAACTTTCCGTTATTTCGACACAAGTTTTATTCGAATGAAGACGGTGTTTAAATGTCCTAGATGAAATATAATATAAGGTTTTTCAGGTCTTGGTGCAGTTATTAATGGATGGCTTGGACAGTGGCAAGAATTATTTTATTACAATTTAAGCTTGCAAAAATTCCGTTTGTTCCAGCCATTCAAAAAATTTAAACTAAACCTTACCACAACATCCTTAAGGTCCACATTACCTTATCAACAAGTGCGACCAGTGCGCAGCTCTAAGGCAGATCAAATTGAGCAGATCCAAAGGTAAACTAAACCTTAACACAACAATCCTAAGGTCCACATTACCTTATCAACAAGTGCGACCAGTGTACAGTCAGCAGCGGCGCTCGGTGCGCAGCTCTAAGGCAGATCAAGTTGAGTAGGTCCAAAGGTAAACTAAACCTTAACACAGCAACCTTAGATCCACATTACCTTATCAACAAGTGCGACCAGTGTACAGTCAGCAGCGGCGCGCGGTGCGCAGATCAACTTAAGCAAATCCAAATGTATGTTCTCTAACAAATTAAACCTTAACACAACAATCCTAAGGTCCACATTACCTTATCAACAAGTGCGACCAGTGTACAGTCAGCAGCGGCGCGCGGTGCGCGGCTCTAAGGCAGATCAAATTAAGCAAATCCAAAGGTATGTTCTCTTCTGGACTGTACAAGCCGGTGTTAAGTCCGCTTTGTTCGTTGTGAAGGAGATTCTGTGCTATTTTCGCTGTTAGAGGGAAGAGGCAGCCGTCTGTGAAAAAATAATACATCAATTTGTTATTTATTTGTCACAATAAAAAATGATAATGGTGTATAGTTTCTTAAGCAGTGGTTATTTGTCTGTCTGATAATGTTTCACTGTATGTTTTCCGAACAAATCCCAACTAATATTATAAATGCGAAAGTAACTCTGTCTGTCTGTCTGTCTGTCTGTCTGTTACGCTTTCCCGCTTAAACCTCGCAACCGATTTTGATGAAATTTGGCATAGAGATAGTTTGAGTCCCGGGAAAGAACATAGGATAGTTTTTATCCCGGTTTTTGAAACAGGGACGCGCGCGATAATGTTTTTCTGTGACAGACAAAATTCCACGCGGGCGAAGCCGCGGGCGGAAAGCTAGTCTATATATAAGGGAGAGTCCGCTAATTTGGACCAGTTTTTTTCAATCCCATTTTACACATAGTTTTCTTTTGTTTTTGCTAATGTCCATGGTATATAATAAAAGATACATTATTCAACTTACTATTTCATAAGTATTAATTAACATGATTGTTGTATATTTAGCACAAATCAACAAAGTACGAGTTCAGAGCTTCGGTCCAATTTAGCCAACCGGTTCGATAATTTGTACCACAGGGTTACTAAATTGGATTTCAATAAATTTCAAGCCTATAAAAAAACTATGGCAAAATATTATACGATACATTCTTAACAAATTAGGAAACGAAAAGGAACAGTAGTTAATAACATAGACAATCGATATTGTTTTACACGTTATCACGATTTTGAGTACAAGTTTTGTAATTTCAATTATCGTAACGCACACTTGTACCTAATCTACTTTGCCAGTCTTTTGCTTTCATTTATTGTTAGTCAAACATAACTACGCTATTATAACTTCAAAATATGATTTTCTAAAAAAAATTCAAAATCCTTTGGTAAAGTTCCATACAACTTGATGTGGTACAATTTAGCCGACTAGGTGATAGTGCTTTTAAAAAATCGGTAAAAAATATAGCTTATAAATACCGAAAAATATTTCAAATAATTGTAATCCACACTAATTTACGCTTCTAAATAATATATTAGAAACACCCTGTGATTAAATTTAACAAAATTACAAACTAAACATGTATTGTCAAAAGTTACTTGAAAACAATGAAAAAATACTTTTCAAAATAAAACACACGTGTTTGTTGTCACGGCAAAAACCACATGGCCGATATTAATTGATTTTAGTTGTGTATCGCTGAGTGTTGCAATTACAGACATTCAATAAATACTTTAAGAAATATGAGGGTGGTACAATTTACCCGGCGGTACAATATACCGAACTCTCCCCTATAAAAGAAAGTCGTGTTAGTTACTCCACTTATAACTCAAGAACGGCAGAACCGATTTAGCTGAAAATTGTCAGGGAGGTAGTTTAGAGCCAGGAGAAGGACATAGGATACTTTTTATCCCGTTCGAAATAAAAAAAGTCTGCTTCTTTATTGCCATTAAGGCGGAACAAAGTTCGCCGGGTCAGCTAGTAAATAATAAACATTAAAAATTACTGTGTTATTCTCAGATTAAAGGTCTCTATTGAAAATATACGCAAATAATTCTTTAGGTAAAGGTGAAAAAAAATTACACTGTGTGGGGCAAAGTTATTTAAAATTGATTGAATTTCTTCAAAATTTCCTGTATGCTATTTGCTTGCATACAAAAAAGCATTGTTAGTCGCAAACACTATGGAATCAGTGTGTTGTATAATGCAGATGAAAAAGCAACATTTACAGCTGTTATTTTGGATAAAATCTTACATAAATACCTGTAGGTCCCCTTCATCATCATAATTTCAGCCATAGGACGTAAACTGCTGAACACAGGCGTCCCCCAATGACTTCCACATAATTCTTAGATGTGCAATAAAAAGTATTTAATCTAAATGTCACTTACTTGTCAAATGCAGCATATGCTTCACTTGCACAATAATATTCACGCAGACTGCATACAGCAAACTGTGATTCTGTCCTTTATCGCTCATATCTTTACGGTCCAAATCGGCGCAGCTCGCCTCATGACAGCAATCCATCTCTATGATCGCGTATGTCAATGTTTTGAACAAGAATCTAACAAGTACCACATCTGGTGACAAGTTTGCGCAGTTTTCGTTGACGTTTTGGACGTTTAAAGGGTCAGAATCCTGTTTCACGTTAAAGAATATGGAGTGAGGAGATATACACGTGGCTTTTAAGTAGTTAATCGATAGGAGGATCTCGCTTTCGGGAATGAGTATTAACACTTTTCGCAGTAGCACCATTATTATTGAGAGGTACCGCAGTTTCAGTTTGTAGGGTGTGGTGGCCTGGAAAAAAACATTTGAATAATGAACTTAAATATTACTTTGAATATAATTTCGAAGGTGAAATTAATATTTTCATTTGAAAATGTGACGTTGACTGCGGAATTTATGAGCAGATTAGTTTATCGACAAATCATTTGATAGATGAAGGATTTTTGGCCATTAGGCAATGCGCGAACGCGTGACTTTTTGTCGCCGTAACAGTATTTCTCTTTTACACTTTTATAAAGAGAAAAAGAGCGATAAAGTTACCTTACGTTAGTTAAAGAGTCATACTGTCACGGTGACAAAAGTCACCAGTGTGCGCGCAATTCTGTCCCATCTTCTTATTTTAAAAAATCTATATAGGGTGGATTTTTTTTTTAATTTCGAAATTCTTTGAATGTAGGTAGTTCTTTTTCTTTTCAAAAATAAAGGAATGTTTTCTTTGAGAAAATTTTTCTATCTACAATATTAAGAGTACTTTCCCTCCAGGTGGCATTACAAAATTCCACCCTGTATAGAGGTTAACATTATAATTTCTTACCTGCTCAGGGGGCGCTTTGAACAATATCTTCAGTAACAACTCGACTCTACTCTGTTCTAACAGCACATCTCTGTACACTGAGTCTATGAGTCTCTCCAATGAAGATATGGCTTCAAAACTGTCTAGCTCCACCGATCTCTGGTTCAATAGATTAAGGAGAGTGTCACAGGCCAGCTCCGACCATCTGTAGTAGGACTCCGGGTGCTCTTGAGAGAGAGACAGCACGCAGGAAACCAGGTCTAATACCTGTGGAAGAAAGAGATGAGTATAAGCACAGAATAATAATAAGTACTACGTACAGAAGGTTTTCTTCGCAAAGGTACTTAAAAAAAATGAAAATCAAATCATTTTATTTGCGTGAAAAGTGAACTACAAGTTCTTACAATATTAAAATGCTCAATTTCGTTAACAATATGGTGTAATTTAGCCTGTCTCAAGAGTCGAGCACCATTTTGTTGACAAACGTCAGTGATCGGTACTGCGCCGAAGCCATAGGGCTGACTTCGGTAAAATGATGTGACGTGAGGTGCCAAACTGCAGAAAATGGCGGAGGAAATACATGAATGAGCATGAATTATATTTTGTGTTTCTATTATTATTCAGGCAGTTAAAATACTGCACAGTATTGATTACACCACCGTTTTTACGTAGTTTATTGTCTTTACAATGCAAATGGGTGAAGAATACAGGAGTACACGTCGATTAGATATCTCAGATGTAGTCGCGCGTGTTTTGTTTTCGATGCAAACTCGCGGAGATGAACAGGCCTGGTATAAGTTGGTTTGTTTCAGCCAAATGCTGTCCAATGCTGGACAAAGGCCTCCCCCAAGGATTTTCAACGACCGGTCTGGCGCTGCCAGGTGCCTTCCGCGACCTTCACCAGATCGTCGGTCCGCCGAGTGAGAGGCCTGACTACACTAAGTTCATAATTGAGGATAAGCTAGGAATAAAATAGTTGGGAAATAATACATGCATACTAATAATATTATAATTACGAAAGTCAAATTGTCGCTTATGTTCTTTTTACGCGTAAACCACTGAATTGATTTAGATCAGTGGCGGCGTAGCATGGGTTGGCACCCGGGGCGATCACCCCCCCCATCCCCCCGTCATAAGTCCTAAGGCACCTCGTGGCACCCCCCCAGGATCGCTCGCGATTCGAAGATTGAAAGACAATCCCCCCCCCCCCGTATCATGCCATAGACCGCAGACTTGCCAAGTTGCCATGCAGGTGCGCCAGTGAGTACTAATCTGCGCGACTTGTGTCACCCCCTGATGCTTGGCACCCGGGGCGGACCGCCCCCACCGCCCCCCACTTACGCCGCTATTTATTTAGATGTATTTTAAACTGAAGAGATAATAACATTTTAACAAAATTGAAACACTTATTACTCACAACCGTGAAATATAAAAGAAAAAAATACAAAAATTCTTATTTTAAAATGATAAAGTATTTAATTTATTACAACAATGAACTTGGTGCCGTTGAACGTTATAATTTTATTTTTTTTGCGAATAAATTCATCTTTTCGTGCTAGTGGCGCCCTCTGCAGAGAATTGTGCGTGAAGTTGTTCTTCAATAGCAAATGTTTCAAAAGTGAAGCAATAGATGGCGCTGTACGTTTCCTGAATCGCGCAAAACAAGTTTTTTTTCCTGACTTGACTACATACGACGCTCATAGTGATAGAAAATTCAAACTTCGTAAAAGTAATTTTTGAAGGCAGATCGATAACTTACATTGATCAGCCATACGAAGTCGATTCCCTCTCATCATATTATAGCCAAAACTACACTCAACCAACATCAAATAAACCGCATCTTCCACAACGCGAACTTTTAAGATTTTCTTCTGACACAATCATACACTCAACATCAAATAAACCGCACCTTCCGCGACGCGAACTTCAAAGATTTTCTTCTGACACAATGAAGAATGTTCACTAATTTTGTTTTTTAGCTTTCTGTATTCTCTGTTAAAAATAAAAAATACACGTGAAAGAATTATTTCGATACGTCAATTAGTTTCCAAGATATTGAATTTTAAAGGTGCGGGCGGCGGCCGGCCCACCAATTTATGCGCGTGACGTCATAATATAGTGACTGACTCAAATTTGTATGGGTGGAATCTTGCAAGCTGAATTAAGACCCACTTCCGGACAACCGATTAAGCTGAAATTTCGCATACACATGTAATTTGGATCACCATGCAATATTATGATGTCATGGAGCTGATCTGGTGATGGAGCTGGAAGGTGGCCATAGGAACTCCATAATAAAACGACTTAAGTCCATCGAGTTTGGGCTCGTTCGTTTTGTATTGACGAGTACTTCAATTCTATACAGTGTGAGTCACGTTAAAGTGTACATATGAAAATAGATGAAACAAGACCTATTTTTATCGACAAAAAAGAGGTCAAAAAATTTTTGAGATTTTTTTTAATTTTTTTATAGAATTTTTTTTCTTCCAATTACTTATTGTAAAGAAAACGTAATAACTTTTAAACTAAGCGGTATATCCTGATAAAATAAAAACAGTAATAATGCTAAATAACAGGCGATACTAAAAAAATACATAAAATACACAAAAAATGCCAACAAATAATAAAAAATGATACTTTTTGAAAAAAATCTGCTTTTAAATTCGTGTTTTTTTGGTTATTTGATAAATTTCTCCAAAAAATGCCCCTATAACAGGTGGTTTTTATTACATTGTATTATTCTCTATCGTATTATCTTTGTAAAACCAGAAATCGCATGTCTCTATCCCTATCATAACATTTGCCATGAGCGTTTGAACAAAGGCCTGCCACAACATTATTCTCCGCTGCAGGTAGAGAAAATTTTAATTTTAACTAAAATGCTTATTTTACTTCGAAATCTTTTGTTTTTATTTGAAATTTAACTTGTCTTTATCTAAATTACAAATCTAGAGCCATTTTCAGTTTCGTTGTTAACGAAGCGTTGAATAGCGCGCCCGGAGAGGGTTAGTTCAAACGATCATTGCAAATGTTGTGATAGGGATAGAGACATGCGATTTTTGGTTTTACGAAGGTAATACGATAGAGAATAATACAAAGTAGTAAAAACCACCAGTTATAGGGGCATTTTTTGAGAAATTTATCAAATAACCAAAAAAACACGAATTTAAAAGCAGATTTTTTTCAAAAAGTATCATTTGTTGGCCTTTTTTGTGTATTTTATGTATTTTTTTAGTATCGCCTATTATTTAGCATTATTACTGTTTTTATTTTATCAGGATATACCGCTTGGTTTAAAAGTTATTACGTTTTCTTTACAATAAGTAATTGGAAGAAAAAAATTCTATAAAAAAATAAAAAATAATCTCAAAAATTTTTTGACCTCTTTTTTGTCGATAAAACTAGGTCTTGTTTCATCTATTTTCATATGTACACTTTAACGTGACTCACACTGTATAGTAATCAGGGTCTGATGATGGAGCTTTTTTTTTATGTGATAGGAGGCAAACGAGCAGACGGATCACCTGATGGTAAGTGATTACCGTCGCCCATAGACACCCGCAGACCCAGGGGCGTTACAGGTGCGTTGCCGGCCTTTGAAGCTGGAAGGTACTTCGCAATAAAACGACACAATCGCATCAGATTTGGGTTTGGTTTAATTTTAATTTCTGTGATGGGTCTGGGTGTTAATATGTATAATGTGTATGTATTTACAAAAAAATGTATATAAGTATATGGTTACATCCGTTTTCTAATGAGCAGACACTGTGAATGTACGTCACGCGGGGTCACGTGACCGTCGGCGGGACTCGATATTTAAGCGAACTTTGAATGCCTATAAAATCATAACTACTGGGTATTTTTAATGAAATAAAAACAAATGTATTTGTATATGTAAAATTTTAACTGTAACAAAGGTTTCAAGTGTTTTTGCATACCTAGTAACATTCTTAATTATGGTACCCCAACAACATTAGTGTTATTTGAAGGCCCAATAAATATCCTTAAAGAAAAACACATTTAACTTCTTAATAAACGATTAACAGGTACCATAAATGTGATTTGAAAAAATACCTCACTTGGGGCTCACCCACCTCTGGGATCAATTAGACCAACTTTTATGTTTAGAAAACCAAATAATAATCTCACGTGTCCTCTTTAACAGATGGATAGCGATTAATCCCAACTTAACAGTTTTATAGCCATAAAAGTTGTCTCAAACGTAACTACTTGATTATTGAAGAAGTGACTCTGGATCCTCCTAAAGACACATTTTTGGGGTACCTAAAAACCTTTCCTTTAATGAAATGAAGTTTAGAACTAGGCTTTTAAATGGTGCTAATATTGGTGGGAAGTAAGGATGCATACGTTTGAAAGTGCTTGTCGCGGAAGGTGCGATTTATTTGATGTCGAGTTTATTTTTTTGTTAGTTGCAAGTTGCACTTTTTGATCGAATCAAAAATCGAATCCGTCATTACTCGATACAAAAAAAAGCCTTTAGTAGACCCACTGTTCCACCAAACTCATTGACAGGGAGGCGCCACCATCGTTCAACCACAGAATAAGTAATAGTACCTATACATACAGTGTGTCAGGGCATGTATAGACACAGTTCATTCAACTAAAATAGTAAGACACGGGTCTTAACGCGACGTTACGTCGTGTCTTACTATTTTAGTTGAAATTGACAGCTTATGATTGTTATGATGGTTATTTAGACAGTTGAAACATTTCGTTTCATGAATCTTCTAATCTACCTAAGAATAAAAATATTGAGGTGTAAAAATCAATCACTTTTTTGTGCTTTCATCCTTCCAAAATAACAATTAATAATCTTTCTCAATTAACCGAAACAAGAATTTTAAATACTTATTAGTTTTTATTTATTATAATTTGTGAAAAAATATTACATGAATTGCATAATGCGTTAATCGGAACTTTTGCTCATACGGATGGACATGAACAATCGCAACCAATCAATAATCAGTATGGTGATCATCTCACCATCGAATCATAATTTTATTCTCTCAGGCAGATCAGAGGTCAGTCAGTACGTGTGTGTTTGCCTTGTATGGCCGGTTGTATTCCATGCGATTTCTCCACGAGTTGTTTGTTATTGTTATTTGTTTTTATAGAATAAAATACAAATTATTTGTGATTTATTATGAAACAACGTTTATTCCATATCAAGATACCAATCAAATTTTTTTGTAAATAGTTTATCGTGAAATATTTTTGCCAAATGAAACATTTGGCATAACATACTT